CAAGGCAGAGGAGAGAGGAGAGAGGCACCCAAGGGGGCTTTGGAATGAGCCCAGTGGGTCATGAGATAAATGTGGGGTTGGCATTATTTAATGATCACAAAGAAGGCAAGGCATTTAGCTGCCTCGTTTGCTCATTTCTGTCATACCCCTTCAGGGCTTTCAGCACCCACTTTTGATTCCTGAGTCACAGCTCCTGGGTTTATATGCCAAAGAGGCGTAATCCCCCCAAACGTGCTTCTGTTCCACCATCCCTGATGTCAAACAGTTCTGCCAATGCACATGATCTATAGCCCTGCCTTTGTGCTAAACAAGACCCACATGCAGGGCCGGCCCTACTGTTAGGCAGAATGAGGTGACTGCTTCAGACGGCAGGTGCTGGGATGCAGGGGTGGCAGCCCACAGCCATTCCTCCTGAACCTTCTGGCTGTAGCCTTCTGCGCAGAGCTCTATGTGCCATGGAGACTGTCCTGCACCCTCAAAGTTTCCCTGTGGCTCTCAGGTGTGATGCCGGACATAGGGACATAGGAAGCTGCCTTCTACTGCCTTCAGAGATTGCAGGGCAGCAGTTGAAGAAGGAGCAAAAAGGGTTTTCTTGTGTGTGTGTGTTTCTTTGTGACTGATTGGCTGCTCTCCCTGTGCAAAGGTCAGAGGGGGCAGGGTTTCTGTTGAGGCAGGTGATTAGCTGTGGGAGGAGCTTATCAGAGATTGCAGGGCAGCGGCGCAGCGCCTAGCGCGCGCGCGCAGTTTTATCCATCTTTTAGATTTAGGGAGCTAGTCTCAAACGTTTGTTGGGGAAGACCTAGGTTTTTGTGGGGGAGTTATTTTTCCTGTCTTCACGCTTTTTATGATGGAGGACCACTGTAGCCACCCCCAACGACACGTTCTCAAGATGGAGGGGAGGGAACAGCTGCAGTCGCCTGCGGTTCCTGCGCAATGCTTGCCATCTTGCCAAAGGTTGCAGGCAGCTTTACCTGCAGCAATTGCATGTTGATTGCCCTCTTAAAAGACAAAGTCCAGCAACTGGAGGAACGTGTAGCTACGCTCCAAAGAATTAGAGAGCTGGAGCTCTTCTTGGAAGCAACAGAGCACACCGTCTCCACCAAGGAGGAGACAGGGGACTCCCCTGAGAAGGACGCTAGTTCACCAACACAGGAGCCAGATATATGGAGAAACGTGACTCAAAGAAGTAGGAGGCCCAGGGTTCGCTCTGATTGTTTAGAAATACACAATCGCTTTGAGGTCCTCTCCCCTAGCATGGAAGACGAAGAGCAGACTCCATTTGAGGATCTCTCCTCATTACAGTCGATCAGGTATATGAAGACGAGCAGCAAAGTCAGTCCTCAGGGAATGTGCAGGCGACCTTGGAGCGGACAGCTCACAGAAGAACCCCGGCCAAACCTAAGAGGAGGCGTGTAGTGGTGATAGGGGATTCCCTACTGAGGGGAACAGAAGCAGTGATCTGTGGGCCTGACAAGATGTCTCGGGAAGTGTGCTGTCTCCCCGGGGCTAAGATCCAAGATGTAACTGAACGACTGCAAGGAATCATAAAACCCACTGACAAATACCCCTTCCTCTTGGTTCACGTGGGAACCAATGACACTGCAAGCAATAGCCTCCAGAAGATCAAAAGAGACTACGAGGCTCTGGGCAGGAAATTGAAGCAATTAAATGCACAAATTGTGATCTCATCTGTCCTCCCAGTTGAGCGACGTGGCCCAGGGAGAGAGGGAAAATAGTGGAAGTGAACAGCTGGCTTCGCAAATGGTGTAAACAGAAACGGTTTGGATTCTTAGATCACGGACTGCAGTTTCTTGAAGATGGACTTCTGGCAAGCGATGGGCTGCACCTCACAACGGTTGGGAGAAATGTTTTTGCCAAAAATCTCAGAAACCTCATCAGGAGGGCTTTAAACTGACTAATGTGGGGGAGGGAGATAGTGCTCCTGAAGGTAGGAGTCTATCAATTGATGAAGATGATCATCCAAATGTCATAGACCAAATGGAGCAAACAGCACACAGACCTAGTGGTGGGAGGAAAAAATCCTTAAATAAGAGTCACGGGGGATGATTAATGGACTTCAATGTCTGTACACTAATGCGCAAAGCATGGGAAATAAACAAGATGAGCTTGAGCTCTTGGTACAGCAAACTAAATATGACATAATAGGCATCACTGAAACCTGGTGGGATAAGTCCCACGATTGGAATGTAATAATGGGGGATACAATCTATTTCAGAGAAACAGACCAGACAAGAAAGGAGGAGGAGTGGCGTTATATGTCAGGGATGTGTATACCTGTGAAGAGATCCAAGATTTAGAACCTCAAAGCCAAAGTGAGAGCATTTGGGTCAAAATTAAGGGAGAGAAGAATAACAGTGACCTCATTGTGGGAGTTTACTATAGATCCCCAAGCCAAACGGAGGACATAGATGATGCCTTCCTGGAACAGATGGCCAAGCATGCAAAAGGAAGGGAGATAGTAGTAATGGGGACTTCAATTACCCGGATATTTGTTGGATGTCAAACTCAGCCAAGAGCATAAGGTCAAACAGATTCCTCACTGGCCTTGCAGACAACTTCATTGTCCAGAAAGTGGGAGAAGCAACAAGAGGAACAGCCATTTTAGATCTGGTCCTAACCAATGTTGATGACCTGGTTAGTGGGGTAGAAGTGGAAGGATCATTAGGCGCGAGTGATCATGCTCTTCTGAAGTTTACTATACAGCGGAAAGGAGCAGCCAAGCATACTAGGACTCAATTTCTTGACTTTAAGAAAGCTGACTTCATAAAACTTAGGGAAGTGCTGGGTGAGATCCCATGGACAGTAATACTAAAAGGAAAGGGAGTTCATGATGGCTGGGAGTTTGTTAAGAGGGAGATACTAAAAGCACAACGTCAGGCAATACCAATGAGACGGAAACATGGAAGGTGCCTAAAGAAGCCAGGGTGGCTATCTAAAGAACTTTTAACTGAGTTAAGATTAAAAAAGGATGTGTACAAAAAATGGAAAAGGGTGGAAACCACCAAAGAGGAATTCAAACAAATAGCCAGCACGTGTAGACACAAAGTCAGAAAAGCTAAAGCACAGAATGAACTCAGGCTTGCTAGAGAGGTTAAAAGCAACAAAAAAGGCTTTTATGGGTATGTCCGTAGCAAAAGGAAGAACAAAGAAACAGTGGGGTCACTCAGAGGAGAAGATGGTGAAATGCAAACAGGGGACACAGAAAGAGCTGAACTCCTCAATGCCTTCTTTGCCTCAGTCTTCTCCGATAAAGAAAACAATGCCCGACCTGAAGAATTTGGAGCAAATGATTCAGCAAAGGAAACACAGCCCAGAATAACTAAGGAGATAGTACAAGAATACTTGGCTAGTTTAGATGTATTCAAGTCTCCAGGGCCAGATGAACTGCATCCAAGAGTATTAAAAGAACTGGCAGATGTGATCTCAGAACCACTGGCAGTCATCTTTGAGAATTCCTGGAGAACAGGCGAAGTCCCGGCAGACTGGAGGAGGGCAAATGTTGTCCCTATTTTCAAAAAGGGAAAAGAGAGGACCCAAATAATTACCGCCCAGTCAGTCTGACATCAATACCAGGAAGATTCTGGAGCAGATCATTAAGCAAACAGTCTGTGAGCACCTAGAAAGGAATGCTGTGATCACCAATAGTCAGCAAGGATTTCTGAAAAATAAGTCATGTCAGACTAACCTGATCTCGTGTTTTGACAGAATTACAAGCCTGGTGGATGAAGGGAACGCAGTGGATGTAGCCTACCTTGATTTCAGCAAGGCATTTGACAAGGTGCCTCATGATATTCTTGTAAAGAAGCTGGTAAAATGTGGTCTTGACTATGCTACCACTCAGTGGATTTGTAACTGGCTGACTGACCGAACCCAAAGGGTGCTCATCAATGGTTCCTCTTCATCCTGGAGAAGAGTGACTAGTGGGGTGCCACAGGGTTCTGTCTTGGGCCCGGTCTTATTCAACATCTTTATCAACGACTTGGATGATGGACTCAAGGGCATCCTGATCAAATTTGCAGATGACACCAAATTGGGAGGGGTGGCTAACACCCCAGAGGACAGGATCACACTTCAAAACGACCTTGACAGATTAGAGAACTGGGCCAAAACAAACAAGATGAATTTTAACAGGGAGAAATGTAAAGTATTGCACTTGGGCAAAAAAAATGAGAGGCACAAATACAAGATGGGGGACACCTGGCTTGAGAGCAGTACATGTGAAAAGGATCTAGGAGTCTTGGTTGACCACAAACTTCACATGAGCCAACAGTGTGACGCGGCAGCTAAAAAGCCAATGCAATTCTGGGCTGCATCAATAGGAGTATAGCATCTAGATCAAGGGAAGTAATAGTGCCACTGTATTCTGCTCTGGTCAGACCTCACCTGGAGTACTGTGTCCAGTTCTGGGCACCACACTTCAAGAAGGACATTGACAAACTGGAACGTGTCCAGAGGAGGGCAACTAAAATGGTCAAAGGCCTGGAAACGATGCCTTATGAGGAACGGCTAAGAGAGCTGGGCATGTTTAGCCTGGAGAAGAGGAGGTTAAGGGGTGATATGATAGCCATGTTCAAATATATAAAAGGATGTCACATAGAGGAGGGAGAAAGGTTGTTTTCTGCTGCTCCAGAGAAGCGGACACGGAGCAATGGATCCAAACTACAAGAAAGAAGATTCCACCTAAACATTAGGAAGAACTTCCTGACAGTAAGAGCTGTTCGACAGTGGAATTTGCTGCCAAGGAGTGTGGTGGAGTCTCCTTCTTTGGAGGTCTTTAAGCAGAGGCTTGACAACCATATGTCAGGAGTGCTCTGATGGTGTTTCCTGCTTGGCAGGGGGTTGGACTCGATGGCCCTTGTGGTCTCTTCCAACTCTATGATTCTATGATTCTATACTGACTCTATCTAGCTCAGTATTGTTTACACTGATTGGCAGCAGCTGCCTTGGATTTCAAACAGGAAGTCTTTCCCAGTCCTACTTGGAGATGTCAGGGATCAAACCAGAGACCTTCTGCATGCAAAACAGATGCTCTGCTGTTGAGCCATGGCCTTTACAGTGCACAGCCTGACTGCTAGTTTTAAAGGAGGATTAAGCTGCCACTTCAGTCAGGTTCTGGATGTGAAATTTGCTGCCTAAGTCAGCAAAATGTCTTGAGCTGGCCCTGCCCACACAGCCACCTCAATCTTCTTCTGAGACAATCCTTTTCTTCCTCTCCTCCTTCCTCTCCCGCTGACGCACAGCAATTCTTCCTCCCCCAGAACATCCCTGACTACTGCAGACCCTGCCACTTTCCCGACACTGAAAAAGCAATCTCAGTAAAGGATAGCAATAATTATATAGTGCTTTTAGATGTCCAAAGAAAGTTCAGAGGTCTGTAGCGATCGCTTGAGGAGCACTTTGGGAAATTAGGTTGAAGATCCTCAAATGGATTTAGGAGCCATAGGATGACTACCCTTGTTTTTTAGCAGACCTGTAAGGTGGTTCAGTACTATTATCTGCATATTGCAGGTGGAGGGGAAGGCTAAGGTTGAGAGAAAGTCAAATACCTGGTGAGTTCATGGTAGAGGGAAATTAAAAGCAGGGAGAGGTGTCCTGATTCAGAATTCACTCATTTATTTATTTTCTCAAGTTTATATCCCACCCTTTCTCCCGAAGGAGTCCAGGGCAGCAGGTCACTATGACTCAGTCACTATGGTATACCAGCTCTGAGTGTTTCCACCCTGATCCCCATCTCAGTGCACCATCATTCCAGGCAACTTTGCTCCAGACAGGGCTGAATTTAGGTTTGATGAGGCCCTAAGCTACTGAAGGTAATGGGGCCCTTTATATGTCCAGCTGTCCTTTGTCAACCACAAATTGTGTTTTTTGTGTTGAATATATGCTATATGGTAATTTATGGACCTAACAGGTATCTAAAGCCATTGGCACATGTTGCCATGCAACCAGTCCATGCAGAATGTAGGCACCCTATATATAGAAATGAGCAAACCAGTGATATTTTAGGGAGCAGGCTAGCAGGCGGGGCCCATTACTTACATCATAGGAGCCTACACCACACAAAACACTGTTACATTATGTAGGTTTTATTTTATTTGGTTTTTAACTTATATTTTGGAAATGTACATCCAGGGTTTTTTCCCTTTAATTTTTTTTTGGGGGGGGCAAGAGAGTGGGGCCCTAAGCTATAGCCTGTTTAGCTTATATGTAAATTCGGCACTGGCTCCAGCTCATTCCCACATCTCTAGAAAGTTACATCAAGATTTATCTCTCTCTCACATCATGGCACTAGACGTCATAGATGATCTGATAGTGTGTTCTCTTGTTACAAGCTTAGGAATGGGATCCTAGCCTGGTTCATCCACACATACCCTCCACTCCCCTCTCATCTGCCCACAGCATCTTACTTGTGCACTTCTTGAAGGCGCTGCCTTTCTTGAGAGCATGTCGGCTCAGCTTGCAGTGGAAGTTGTCCTCCCAAAATTCAGCAAACCAAATGTTACGACGGTTATTGTCCAGGGTCCTGCTGGAGAAATAGCGATCAAAACCTAAGAGGAAGAGGAAGAGAGAGGTGATAGAAACATGAGGAAGGTCTTGCAATCAAAACATATGAGACCTGCTGCAGCTGTAAAAGGAAGTCTGCCACTTTCAGTGTCTACAAAGGTGAAAGGGGCTTTTAAGCTATTGAAATCAAGTGTTCGGAAATGAATAGATAAGGAAAGGGTGGATATTTATTGTGGAATGAGTGCTCTTCATGCTTGCAAATTTTGGTGGCGTCAAAATGCCAGTCTGTTTTTTCCTCCTCATTTAATATGGATTTCCCCTTTATTTAATCTGGTAAATTAAATAAAACCTGTTGCCAACAAACCATTTATGATAACTCGTTGAGCGGCTGCAATATTGAGTCTCCATCTGGAAGTACCCATAGAGATTCAAGGTACTGATGGTCAAAGTGGTTTATTTCCTGTTCACCTGCATGTGCTCATTCATAAGTCCAAGTTGCCCTATTTCTGCAGTAATCTGTGAATCTTTAATTTAGAAAACCACATGAAAAATTCATATTTAAATTCACATTTTCTCATAAAATATGCATTTCTAAATATATTTTCTTTCAAAGTACACATTTCTAAATGTATTTTAGCCTAACTATGTGTTTTATGGACATTTTGGTATTTTTTTTAAACCAAGAACTGCATTGCAAAATTCAGAAAAGTAATGATGGTCCAATCTACACAACAATCCAGGAGGTGGGGATCAGGTCTGTTTATATTGGAATGTGCAAAGAACAACTTCTTCAAACACTGAGGACCTTTATAAAACTTCAGCTGAATATCCAATCCAATGATGCACAGGTTGAATGGTCAGTTCAAGATATAGATATAGATATAGATATAGATATAGATATAGATATAGATATAGATATAGATATCTTGAGAGGGCAGTGATTCTGAGTCACAGCTCCAGTGCTCAAAGCTGGATTTTCACTGTTTCAATGCCATCACACGACAGTTCTTTATAACCAGGTAAGCCCCTGTTTGGGCATTCTCCCCACTACTTATAATTATCATCATGAAAAGGGGTTAGCAAAGATAAAGTCCATTGACCCTGTGACAGACACCCTCACTTAAGCACTTTCTGAGAGTCCTCACTCCTGGGTTAGATTCTTGGACTAGCAATGGGGACACTCAGGTTCAAATCTCCGCTTGGCCATGATCCCAGCCAGTCACAAACACTTAGCCCAATCCACCCCATAGGGTCGTTCTGAAAGCAAAATGGGAAGGGGGACCATATATGTGCCTTGAACTTGGGGGGGGGGGGCAGAGCTGGGATATAAATGTAATAATAATATAATATTATATATACCCCCAGTGTAAATAATAATAATAATAATAATAATAATAATAATAATAATAATTTTATTTATATCCCGCCCATCTGGCTGGGTTTCCCCAACCACTCTGGGTGGCTTCCAACAGAACACTAAAAACAGAATAAAACATCAAACATTAAAAACTTTCATTAAAAAAAATATGCAAATTTACTTAACCAATAAAGAAATTGGGAGGGGAACAGACCTGCACAAATGAGAAAGCAAGCAGAAAAGCAGAAGTGTTACCTTACAGTGCCCTAAGCTGAAATTGGTATACATTTAAAAGGCAAGTTAGTCGCTTATAGCAATTGTTAAAGCAATTGTCCATTAGCTCCTCCACCAGCTTTGATCTTAAGCCAAAGCAAACAAGTTGAGGTTTCTGCACCCTCAAATCCAGGTGCACATGAGTTTCACAGCCTCAAGTCAAGCAAAGACTAACAGGCAGCCTGGAAAACACCTCTTTTTAAGGGAAAACAAGTGTGTGTGTGATGGGTGTGCCCCGATCCTGTCACTCTTGAAAACTGTTCTGCTCTGAGCCAATCTCCTGCAAGTTCCCACGATAGTAAAGTCTTAATTAACCATGCATATTTTAGTCACGCAGAACACAAACCTAATTTCCTTGGCATAAGTGGATGTCAGAGGGGGGTAAGGAAGAGACAGGAAAGATGGCGGCTTTGTGTCTCTCTCCCTGGGGTTCCATCTGGCGTAGCCTTATTAATTGAATGGATCCTTTAATAGGCTTGGGGCACTTGACAGCTCTTTCCTTTCTAATGAATGACACCTCTAGAAATGAAACTTTGGCCGTGAGCTAAATGTGGATGCACTTTGGTCAAGTATACGAAAAACTGTGCTAATAACTAGCTGAGAACTCGATAATAGGGTAGCTTGTGAGTGTGCGCAAATCTCACAGGATGCTCTTGCAATCTCTGGCTCTAACCTTCTGCCCCACCACCACCCCCTGCTAAGGATTCAGTGGTCTCAGTCATAAAGATTTGTTGCCATGCCTTTACGGTTTACCTCAGGGGTAGGGAACCTCAGGCCTAGAGGCTGAATTCAGCTCTCCAGGCCTCTCTACCTGGCCCTCAGAATTCTCCCAAGACTGTATCTCACACTCGGGCTGCTTCATACCCCAAGTGTTTCTCCCTGACTGGAATGTGCCCTTGAGGAAGAGAAGAGTATAGGTTGCTACTAGTCACAACTCTGCCTCCACAGTTGGTGGGCTTCTGAATACCAGTTGGTGGAAACCACAGAAGAGGGCTCTTGGGCTCAGATCCTGCTTGTGGTTTCCCACAAACATCTGTGAGAACAGGATGCTGGCCTAGGTGGGCCATTGCCTGATCCAACAGGTTCTTCTTACGATCTTAACTCCAATAATGGTTCTTGGTTTTCTAGATAAATGACAGAGAGGGCTGTGAGAGTGTGTACAGAAACCAATCTACTAGACTAGTCTACTGGACATTTGTGGTTCCACCGCCTTTTGCCTATGGTTCCACCCACCACTGACTCGTGGTGCTTGAAATGCCCTTGTCCAGAAGGGAATACAGAAGGGAAAGGGCTCCCAACCCCTAATATAACAATGTTTGCAGGCCTTTTCCTGAAGCAGCTTACAGGATCTTTTGAATTGGTGGGATTTGCATTTTGAGTTCTGTGAGCAACCTGCATAAATTGATCAAAGAGTATTGTGACACCTGGAAGACTAAGAAATCTCTTGTCAAGGTACTGACAGACAAGGAATGTCCAGAGGAGAGAATTACCATATTTTTTGCACCATAACACTCACTTTTTTCCTCCTAGAAAGTAAGGGGAAATGTCTGTGCGTGTTATGGAGCGAATGCCTGCGGGTGGTGGTGGGGATCTACTGCAGTCGTGAGCAGAGGATCCATGGTTCCCCTTCCTTCCCTCCTCCGTGGTTACAAAGCATGGATCCACATGGATCTTCAGGATTTTTGCATTGGGCTACTCCAAACTCACTGTCAGATCACATGTCTGTGGCCACAGCATGAACCACAAAAATCATATATCCACTATTTCGTTTAGAATATTTTTTTTCTTGTTTTCCTCCTCTAAAAACTACATGCGTGTTATGGTCTGGTGCGTGTTATAGAGCGAAAAATATGGTAACTCTATTGTCAAAAATACGCTTACAAGTTAGGGAAAGGCATGTCCATCAGGCCCATGCCTC